GGATTCTCTATTGATTAATTGTTTTGAATTTATAGTTAATATCTGAATTTCGATTTGGGGTCAATCGATTGAAGTGATAAATTTGAATGGACAAAAGCGTAGTTTAGTGACTTGCAATTTCAATTTCAAATGAGTAGATGGTTCATTTTTGATGGTCTTATGTGTTCTTTTGGTGTCGATGGTCAATTTTGGCAAGCAGGATTAGCATTGAGTTCTAAGGATTGTTGATCGAGGGTCGAATATATTTGGGTATCGGTAATGATTATGGGAGTCAATGTCGAGTGTTGATTTTGTATACTTTGAAATAGGTGTATTGAGATATAAAATCGAATGGGTGATAGTCGACGGCTTGGGGTCTAAGTCTATTTTGTGTAAATCGAACATGGCTTCACATTACCTGATGTCGAGGTTGAAGTGATCGATTTCAAAGTATTGCTTATTGATTTCGAAATGGTAGTATTGATTTCAAAGGACTTGTTGGGTATTGATGTTGTTGTAGACATCTATCGAGTTTAAAGGATCTGTACATGGTTCGATGACGAGCGTACTAACACAATATCGATGGCTATTTGTTGATTTCGAAGGCTTGGAGTTGAGCTTAGGAGTCAATAGTCGAAGTCGATTGGCTAGAGTCAAGAATCGGACTCGATGGTTTGATTTCGAAGTTTGGAGTTCGACATTTGAGGACTTCGCTTTTTGAGTATCATTGGTCATGATACTGGAAAGCGAAGCGTAGGGGAGAAGAAACATAATTTTCCGCGTCGATTCCCTAAACTTTCAGTGATTTGGCAGAAAAGGCCCAGATTCGAAATTGGGGTAAAAAAAACCTTGTGAAGAATGAAGATTTTTCGCGATAAGTCCCTGATGTTTCGAAATGTTGGCAGAATTTACCCAACTTCGAAATTGGGATAAAAATTCTGAGAAATGGTGAAATTTACGTTCAGGCCCATACAGTTAATGTGAATTGTCACTTTATGCCATGTTTTGCAATTAGGGTAAAGTTTCGCATTTGAGATTGTTTTTGGCGCGATGGGTCCCTGCAGAATTTTGATATTGGTAGTTTTTACCCGGAATTTCGAAATTCTTGCAACTGTCACCCAAAAGCTGAAAATTTTCACAAAATTGGAAAATTTTCATGACTTTTTCGTGATAGTTTTTTCATGCAAGTTTTTTGTGGTTTCATTTTTGGCAGACATCAAGGGGGAGTTTTGTGAAGTTTATTCCTTGGGCGCTTCTCAACCTTAGTGGGTTTTATAATCACTTGTTGATTATAAAAGAAGAGAATGTAGAGTGGGTATTCGAAGCTTCTCGGGTATTCATTTGCGGATTTGAAGATCGGTATTACTTCGAGGGGGAGTTGGTCCTGATCGCGGGAGCTCGTTGGATATTGAATCCAGGACATCCAATCCTAACTTTGAAGGGGGAGAATGTTAGGGTGAAAAGTCCCTCTTATATGTCATGTGTGCTTACTCCTTTGTATGTGTGTAATGAGTTGTCTTTCCTTTATAGGAAGTGTGTGACACCCATTTTATCTAAGAAAGAACTTTAGAGTGATTAGTTTGGAGAGAGAATTATTGCAAACCCACTTGTACTCTTTCTAAAAACTAATGAGAGCTTAAACGATTTATTTACTCTTGTGTTCTTCATGTTCATAATTCTTACATGATTCACTAGATCTTATCACTTCTACATATGTCATCATGATTAACACCACTACATTACGTTGTTTCTATTGTCAAGGTGCAAATACCAGAGTTGTTTGGGTCTATCAAGACCGCCATGATGGAGTTCTTTGATGACCGATATGCTGCACTTTCTAAGAATGTTGTTGCTACAGCTACCGCGGTCGTCACTGTTGTGGGGATTGGTTAGGGGAGAGCCTTCTAGTACCAGGACTTTGACAATATGAAGCCATTGGTGTTTGATGGGGTTGAGGATCCAATCATTTCCATGAGGTGGTTGTCTGACGATGAAGGATGTTTCCTTAACTGCTCCTGCCCTGCTGACCAGAAGGTCAAGTGGGCTCTAAACCTTCTTCTGTCCGGAGCAAAGGATTGGTGGAAGTTGGTGACTAGCTCAAACACTCCATAGTAGAGCGTTGCCGTGATTGGGAGTAGCTCTCTGAAATGTTCTGATCGAGATATGTTCTGTTGGTGGAGAGGGAGAGGCTAGCTCAGGAGTATTTGGACCTGAGGTAAGTGACTAAGATCATCAATATGTTTACAGAAAGAGCTATATTTGGTCCTGAGTTTGCTGCTTCTGAGCATGCTCAGATGACTCGGTACTTGAGTATACTCAAGACAAACATATGTCTATTTGTGTCTACAAATCGCTATGGTACACTGGTGGATTTTCAGGAGGGCGCTAGGCTGTGGAAGATCGAGATGGAGCTCCAGACGAGAGAGCGGAGGTAGGCTCCAGTGCAGACGCAACCTACATCAAAGCGATTCAAGGGCGCTGAATTGAGATTTGGGGGTCAGAGGGGCCGAACTTGTGGCAAGTGCGACCAGGTTCATGATGGTGCTTGTCAATCTTCTTCTGGATGCCACAAATGTGGCAGGCATAGCCACTTGCGAGGGACTTCCGTCAGCAGACTTTGGTACCCATCACCACAATTTGCTATCACTATGACTAGGTGGGCCATATGAAGGCTAGTTGCCCCTTACTTACCGCTCGACCGGCCTAGGCTCCAGCACCAGCTACTCTGAGGATCATAGAGGCGATCCAGGGCAGGGTAAAGCCCTCGAGGGCTTGGGGTGTGCTTTTTAGCTCTCAGCAGAGGAGGCCAGGGCCGTGTCAGACGTCATTCTGGTATGTTTACTATTTTTGCTATGTCGATTATTTTATGGTATGCTTGTGTTATGTTTCTAATAGGTACATTCCTAGTAAACTCCTTTCCTTCTCTTATGCTTTTTGACTCGGGTGCGAGTTGGTATTTTGTATCCCAAACGTTCAGTAGGGAGTTTGATATGCCTATTAGGGAGTTATATTGTCTGTTGCGGGTTTTATCGCTAACGAACACGGGGTTTCTACATCTAGAGTGTATTAGTATTGTGGATTGGAGATCTTCAGGGTGCCTTATCTGGTATATTTGATCCGTATCTCCATGAGGGATGCATGCGTGATAGTGGGGATGGATTCGCTGAGTAGGTTCGGTGCCATGATCGATGGTGAGGGTCAGCAAGTGATAGTTCGAACCCCAAATAGGGGGGGGGGGGAACTGGTCATCTACGAAGAGGATACCAGGGTTGGATCAAAGTTTTGTTCGACAGCCACGGGTCGACAGTATATTCAGCATAGGTGTATGGGTAATCTTACGTATGTAGTCAATACTCGGGTAGAGGAGCAGACTTCGGTTTTAGAGGTGCTAATTGTCATGGAGTTTGTTGATGTGTTTCCAGAGGAGTTGTCCAGTGTGCCTCTCGAGAGGCAAGTTGAGTTCAGGATTAACCTAGTGTCAGGTGTGGCTCCGATTACCAAGGCGTCGTACTGCTTGGCACCACCCGGGATATAGGAGTTGTCCTTTCAGTTTCAGGAGTTGTTAGGCAAGCAGTTCATCAGGCCGATTAGTTCACTGTAAGGAGCACCAATATTGTTCATCAAGAATAAGGATGGTTCACACCAGATGTGAATTGATTATCGGGAGTTGAAGAAGTTAACGGTGAAGAGTCATTATCTGATTTCATGGATTGATGACCTCTTTGATTAGTTATAGTGTGTATCTTGGTTCTCCAAGATCGATTTGGGGTTCGGATATCATCAGGTGGGAGTGAGAGACCAGAAGATGTGGAGAAGACAACATTTTGGACTCGTTATAGGCATTATGAGTTCGTAGTGATGTCATTTGGGTTCACCAATGTGTCTACGGTGTTTATGGATTTAATGAATTGGGTGTGCAAGTCGATGCTCGACCGATCAATTATTATTTTAATTGATGATATCTTCGTGTATTTTAAGACTAGATAGCAGCACGAGAAGCACCTTACGAGAGCTTTTGGGGGTATTGAGGCACCAAGGTTGGCCCAATTAAATTGTTGTCCTGTTATACCTTGATTGATGATATGTTGAGTATGGGGTGGATCTATATGACTATATGATATCTGTTGATATGCATAGACCGATAGATCTGTAAGACTACCTATGATTTCTGTCTGCATGATTATCTGTATGTTGAGTAAGTTTGTTATCTATTATATGTTGACATATTGTGTTGGGTTGAGACTTTACTACTATGTGTGTGATTCAACAGACCGGAGGTATTCCAGTCCGATGACTGAGTGGACCCAAGGGTATTCCAGTCCGATGATTGAGTGGGCCCATTGTATATTGGTATTCCAGTTCGATGACTAAGTGGACCTGTTATATATTAGCATTCAAGTCCAATGATTGATTGGGCCAAGGGGTAATCTAGTTCGAGGGCTATAGATCCATGGGTATTCCAGTCCAATGACTGAGTAAACCCAACATGCTTGTTTGTATATGATATGTGTACATTGTGGTGGTACCTTGGGAGAACTCGCTAAGCTTTAACTTATAATTTTTTGTTATGGTTTCAAATATTCCGATGATCGTGGGAAGGCGAAGACATGACCATACACATCCATGGTTTATGCTAATTGGATCTTGAGGGACTCTGTATTTGAATAGCGTTTTGAAAACAATGGTTATGTAAACACTTCTTTTTAGTAAATGGGTTGTTTTGAAAAGTTTAAATTGGTTGTGATTTTTGATAAATTACAGCATGGTTTTCGTTTACATTCATATTTTAATAAAATTTAATAATGGAAACTATGATGGGTACTTTGGTCATTTATTGCAAAAGCTCCATTCCAATCTCATATTCCTTGGAGAAGCAAGATTTTCATCAATATTCAATCGTTTTGTACCGTTTGTGTAATTACTTTGGATTAGAATCTTAATTTGTAACGATTTTGCAGAAATAAACAAAATAAAAATATAATATATTCATTTTAACACAAGAGCGATCATGGGTTTATTAACTCGAATCGACCCAACCAATTTGCATACATACAAATAACTATACATTTTTTTTTTGTTTGGAACACAACAACCCATTTACAAATTAACCAACTAATTTTGATACGTTTGCATATTATTGGTCCATCTCCTGGTAAACTTTATTTTTGATTTGTCATTACCAAATGTAGTCTCATAACTCGATTTAATAAAATCAACATGAGTTGTGGTCTTTCCCACAACAAAAAAACATAGTAAAAATAACATTTAACTTGATCAATCACAACATATTTCACATATAAAAACCATAAAACATAAATAAGCAAAGGGTATGGCTAATGAGTGTCACAAATACCCTTGATAATAAGAGAAAGATTAATTTGCTACATACTAACTAGCTAGCCAAGCAAGGCATACGTGGTGAGGTCGGATGTCGTGGCATGGAGATTATTCGGATGGTTAGGTTGCAACCGCAGAGTCAAGATATGTGGTGCAGTCATTTGTGGCGGGTATCCGTACATTGCTTCATACTCTCCATCTTCTATCATCCCGTATTGTGGATCTTCCCCTCTTATTCCCTACATTCAATTCAATCAACTTGTTTTGATTAAATTTAGTCATTTAATCATCATATTTATTTTTATTGTATATGAAAGCATTTTTCTCTGTTATCGGTTTTGAGAGTATTGTAAAGTTGAAGAGTTGGAGTTTTGAAGGCTTACGAATTCATGCATTAGTTTTTTGTAGACGTCTTGAGCACTCCTCACCTAAAATAAAATGATTTTGAATTGATTTTTAGGTAAAGCTGTGAATCAAAAGATTGTTGATAGAGTTTATATCGTTAATTTACCTTTTTCTTAGAAGTCTCCAACTTATTACCAATCACCTTCAGCTGCATTTGTTGTTTCAAAAAGCCAATGTCAATACACATAAACATTAAAATAGGAAAGATATAGAATTTCAAAAAAGTAATTGTATTTTTGAGAGAAGAGTGTTTTTCATGCATTGTATATCATAGTCACAATATTAACATTACGTTTAACTAATAAAAAGGTTCTTCTGATATAAAACTTTAACTTATAATTTTCCCTTTTGAAAATAAATTATACACTTCAACTCACTTATAAGGGTATAATATGTATGAGAAATTTCTATTTTAGTGATTATAAATTACTTTTTAGCTTAATACATAAAACAACTTAAAAAAAGCTCAAAACAATAAGTTAGTGTGTATATCTAAAAATTGAAAAATAAAATAATATAACCTTGCGTTCGCGAATGATGTAAACAGCTTCCTGAGACTCCTTTTCAAGATCAAGCAACTCTTCAAATCCTAAATGTTCCAAACAATCACCCAACCTTTGCCTTTTTCCCATAAATAAAATGAAATTTGTTAAAAGATATTTGAAAGAAAAATATATATATATATATATATATATACACTAATTTGTGAAGAGAATAAATTTTGGGTAATTTCTAACTTAGTACCTAATTTGCCTTCTTAGATTTTTGTTCACCTCTTTCAGCTGTCTCAGTTCTTCTTGCATTTTCTGCATCAAATTAAAATATGAACAAATTAAAACTTGAATTCTTAAACCTCATAAAAGTTAAGGTTAAGTAATTGGTGACATTGCCTTAACTTTTTAACCGGTATAAATTATAACCGGGTTTAGGTTAAAAAAAGTTTTATATTTATATATAAAGAAATGGCAATGAAAGCTGTAAGAATGAATACTCAAAAGCTCAAATCAACTAAAAGGAATTGTAATCATAATAGGTTAGACCCTAGGGTGAACTTTTGCCTTCCTCTTACCTGTGCAACAACATGGATCGGTAATTTAGGTACTGAATTTTTTATGATTTCCCTCAATTCAAAGCATATTCACAACTTTTGAAACCAATTTGTTCATCATGAAGTTGCTAATAATAACAGAAAAAGATGGGTTGTAGATTGTGTTCAAAAGCAGTTAGCTCCATTTGTGTGAGAGAGGAAAGATAAATCGAATGAGTTTTTTTTTTTTTTAATAATTAGTCTTGTTGTCCACAGGGAAACCCTAAGAGGAAATTAATAAGTAGAACAGTGAAATCTAAGGAAAAAGAACCTCATAATGGGAGTTCCAAAGGTCAATTCCAGCTGCTTTCTGATACTGATCGAAGAACTGCTTCGTCCTGGCGTAAACACAATCAAAATCAGTAACAACATAACAACTGAAACCTAAAGCTAGGGTTTCTAGAGAGAGAGAGAGAGAGAGAGAATAACGTACGTGATGGAAGGACTTATGTACTCATGAAGCTTATCGGTACAAGACACCATGATAATGGAGACTTTAGCATCACACAACACAGTGAGTTCACTCGCCTTCTTGAACAATCCATTCCTCCTCTTGGAATACGTGACTTGCCTGTTGGTTGAGTTTTCTATCTTCTTGATCTGGATCTTTCCCCTCGCCATTTTCGCAATCGCTGTTTATCCGATATGTTGTTGGTGGCTCCGATCTGAACAAATAAAACACGAAAGCATAGATTGATATGGCTGAATTGTGGTGGAGAGATATAGAAAGATCGAGTGTGTGTTTGTGTGTGTGAGAGAGAGAGAAAGAGAAGAGTAATGGACGGAAACAAGAAGAAAGCGAGGAGGAATTGTTTCCAGAAAGGGAAAGAATTACTGTAAACGTGAAAGGAGTAAGAGAGAGTTCTGAAGCTATTTATGAATTGTTTCCTTTTAATTATACTTGGTTTTGGACAATATTAGGATTCATTGACCAAAACAATTATTTCAATGCTACTCTACTATTCTTTCCCCATTTCACTAAACTATCCTAAAGACAATTCGTTGAATTTTGAAAATGTGGATTTTAAAATTACATAGATATATGTTTTCTTTAAAATAATAACTAGAAAATTATGTTATGAATGATTAATGATAGATTCGTGTTTTAGTGTCTGGGTTTTAGTGTCTGGTTTTACGTTGGGACAGACTGTTTTAAAAGTTGTTACAGATAAAGTCACAATACATGAAAAATCGTGTATGGAAAATCAACACATGTTCATATCATTTACATTTGATACGTTTTGTTTTCTCGCTCCGGATGCGGTAAAACTTCTTAATAGAGTACAATACATCATTCATAACAATGTTATATCCGCTAGATTTATAGATGTAGTCTTCAAACGAATTAACTTTACCACCAAAAAAAAACTTAATGACATAGCTTGTTGTCTGGTTGTCATCTGACTTATTGTACGATGATATTTAAATAGAGAAGTTAGTATCAATAAATCGGGAAAAAAAATTCTGATAAAAAAAAAAGTAAGACAGTGGAGATTAATTATGCTAAAAATGATAATCTAATTAATAAGAGAAATGATAGGGAAGATAATCATGTGGATTTAAGCCCATCTTATAGGTAGATAAGTAATTCATAATCTCAACTATATATCACCAAACTCTTGCATTTGTATGTACAAAAATGCATTTAAACAGTTGAATATATTTTGTGTTCTCATAATGATCTTGGTTAACATATTTGTATGAAGGGAATATTTTTAATTATAGCAAATGACCGTAGGTGCTTTCTGTAATTGCAATATGAAACAAGTGAATCATTTAAGTTTAATATAAAATATAATATTTTATAGCTAATAACAATTATCTGCTTATCTATAACAAAATACATATTTTATTTCCACACAAGTACGGACAGATATATGTCTAACTATGAAATAATTTAGGAGACGTTTTGACATATATATTTTAAAATACATTATTGTTATTAAATAAAAACTAAATCATTCTTTGGTCAAATTAAAGAATAATGATATTGCTTTTCACTTAATCTTATGAATCAATTTCTTGCACAAATACCTGTTGGCCTCTCTATTAGAAATATAATTAGTTTGAACTTAGAAGTTAGAAAACATAAAATTAAAAGGAATATCAGTTTTATAAAATATTTCAAAATTTTAAAAAAAATCCATTTTAATGGCAAACTCATTCTAGATCATTTTCGGAATGATATAACTTAATAATTTAATAATTGATTGTCATCTTTTCATTTCGAATGTAACTTTATACAATTTGGAATAGTAATTATGAATTATTTATGTGGTCTTTTATATTCTTATATACTACTTAGATTCATGTATATTAGTTTTAGATTTTTAGTATAAATACTAGTTAAAAAAGGTTCTTTGTAATAAATTTAAAATTGGAATGATTTGTTTTGGTGAGGTTTTAGGGTTAAAGGGTTGGAATTAAGAGATTATAAGGTTGTCTATTCTTAATGTTTTGTCCTATCATCATACGTCTCTTCAATAGTACCCTTTGCCACCTTATCGAAGGTATCGTCCCTGTCAAATGATAAATAGATACTGTTGTTTATTGTATGGGTATTGACACTACCTTTGGTTAGGTTCTTCTCTTTGCATATTATTTTAACGCAAATTGAGAGTTGCCGCCAACCGAATTCATGTTTGATCAGATAAGAGTAAAATCAAATTCTAAGATTAGAGTGGAATGCCATGGCTATGATTTGAAGAGCATGTTACACTCACAAAAGCATGTTTGGATAACAACATTAGTTAGGCTACTTCAGATAAAAACGATAAATGATTTTGATAAAACAAACCAAATCAAACTATTGAAAACTGCAAATGAAAAATTATAAAATCAGAACATAATATTGAACATGGTACCCTTTAATTTGACCTACATCCAAGAGAGAAAGAGAGAGTATTTATTATCACTAAGAAAATTACAATCAAAACTAAATCACACTTGTAATTTGATCATTCATTGTAAGGTATCAGTCACACTTTTGCCTACCAAAACAAAAAGCTCTACACAAAAGGCTACCTCACAAATTGGTTCAAAAGAATAGAATTTTTCTTTGTTATATATATATATATATATATATATATATATATATATATATATATATATATATATATATATATATATATATATATATATATATATATATATATATATATATATATATATATATTGTGGGTGTTGTCGTCAAATAAGGACATCAATAAGAGAGCAAATTTTCTTTCTCTGTTTCGAAAAGAAAAAGAAGTCCCTTTTGTTTTTTGTTCTCATGAAATTAATGCACCTCATGACCAAATGCATGTACGCACATTTTCTTTGACTTTTGATTTCAATGCTTCACACCAAACAATCTTCCACTTGAACGTATGAACAACTTTGTCTTTCACTGACATCCAAATCTTACAAAATTCTTTAATCACTCTTTCTCTGTTTTTGTCATGCCTTTTTCCTCAAACTTTTGGAAGGCCATTTGAAGATATGCAAAGGCTCAACTTTTTAGTGATAACCACTGTGGTGAATATATCTGTTGGATTCTTTGTTTTCTTCAGATTCAGAGTTCTATCGTTAATTAACTCTCTATTAAAATGGTACGTCATCTGAATGTATTTCAATCTACTATGAAACACCATATTTTTTCCCAAAAAACCTTCACTTTAGTTGTCATAATGCAACATACAATTCTCATGTTGCATTCCAAGTTCTGATAGGAAAATTCTTCAGTCATATAATCTCTTTATTTGCTTCTACAATAGTCATATACTTTGCCTATGTAGATGAGAGAGAAACACTATTCTATAACCTGGAAATCCACTTGATTGTCATACCTTGGATCAAGAACACATAACATGTTGTGCTCTTTCGTGAATCGACACAACCACCCAAATCTTTATCAACAAACCTTTCTAAAATTTCCTTTTTCTTCTGAAACAAATGGGACAACCTCATATGTTCCTTTCAAGTAGCATAACAACCATTTTACTCCCTTGTAATTGTAACACCCTGTTTCAGATCGTTCTACGATTCAGAATCATTGACTGTAATTTGGTTATGTGTAGGATTTGGGGTTTTAAAGAAGTAAGGTTTGGGCCTTATTGGAAGATGATATTGTCGACAATGGGATCAAGGCCTAGTCAAACACCCCAAAAATACAGTCTAAAAATTTCATTTTAATTTAATAATAAAACCTTAGTCATCGAACATCATATAAAAATCATAAACAGTGTATCTCAAAATATCATAGTATAAACATCCCAGGATGAACAGATGGTGTGTGCACTACAATCTTCCTGAGCTCCTCTTTTGAACCTGAAACCAAAACTGAAACTGTAAGTACGAAGCTTAGTGAGCTCCCCCAAACTACAACATGTGACAACCGTCAAATTCTGGTCAATTCAAAGTCAAATAAAGTCAACGAGTCAAACCGGTCAGCTCAACTAACCTTGTGTATTAGGTCGATGAATCGATAAAGCAAGAACATATGAGTTTTTGATTCGCATTTGGATTGATGATTGAGGGATGATTCGTGAAGAAAAACGCGAAGTCAAGGACTATGAAATTGTTGGTTGCAAGAATTTAAAAACTCGATTGTGGAGTTGTTGATGCTCATTTTGCGAAAGTAAAACAATCGAGTGTTCGCATCTATGAATCAATTTGAAGTCAATTGGGTTAATATTCGCATATGGGTTCAACATATGAAAATTTTGATTTCGCAAGTTTAGAGTTCAAGAACTAAACTGTGTTCGCATCTGGAATGAAAAATTTTGTGAATCGCATTTGATTAATTAGGTTAAAATGCGAAGGGGTGCGAAGGGTGTAAGAATGAAAATGCGAAGGTTAAAATGCGAAGGGATGCGAAGGGTGTAAGAATGAAGATGCGAAGTATTTCACAGTAGAATGCGAATTGGGGAAGAAAACAGAAGATTTCAAATATTGTCCCTGGAGTTTCGCATTTTTGGAAATAAATACTCAACTTCGCAAATGGGGGTCATAAAATGATGAAATTGCAGAATTTTTAAAGAGATGCACACACATAGACAACCACACATATATTTAGAAAATTAAACTAAAAATGGGATATAGACTATTATAAGACATTGTTCTTGACTTTTGAGTCCAAAGACGTATGATCACAAGCAACCACCCCACACCCACTCTATGACCAGCCATACCTCCCCACCTTACCTATGTCACTTCAATGTTCCCTTACACTCAAATTTCACTCACTCCCACGTTTTTGAGCTGGAACAATCAACCACACTCCTCATTTTCTCTCATTTCTCTCATTCCACTAAGTAACAAACATCACTTTTTCTCTCAAACTTTTCTACACAAATTTTCGAGATCCAAGGCTGGATTCAAGTGTTCTTCCACACTTAGTAAGTAAAAATTCATCCTCCCTATTATTATTTCACTTCATTCTACTCAAATCTTTGGTTGCTTACACAAACTCCCTAACTATGATGTTAGATTCTCGAAAACCTTCAAGGCATCTCCAAGTGTTCTTGAATTAAACACTTCCATTCTTCAACAATCATCTACTGAAATCACTCAAGGTGAGTTCATACCCCTACATTTTCATGTTTTCTCAAGTTTTCAGGGGGGGAATACAAGTTAAGGACACTAAGAACATAACTAGATTTTTCTAACAGCCTTCATCAGAAAAGTTCAACTCCATTCACGGACTGTTTTGGGCATCTTACACATTTTTGTTTTCAAAACTGTACAAGGTGCAAATAGTTCAAGTTTTTAGCTTTAAAATGGCTACTTGCACATCTCCATACGATTTTTCTACAATTTATGGCGATTTTTACAAAACTGCCTATCATTTCAAACAACAATCCGGACCAGTCTGTGATTTTGGACTTTTTCACCCAAGTTAGAGGTCATTATAAATTGTGATAAAAATTATGAGCAAACTAGACACATTTTGCGAACTCTCAGAATTTACGGATCTAGTTTTCGACTTGTATGATTTTTCTAGGATTTTTCCAAAACAGGGCAGAATTGCTAAATTTTACCAACAGCATGTAAATATCATAACACTTTGTATTATGTTGAGCAAAGTGTATA